AATAACAGTAACAACAATAACAACAACAGTAACAGTAACAATAAGAACAACATCAATAACAACAGTAACAGTAACAATAAGAACAGAGACGTCAATAAGATCAACAGAAAAACAGTAACAATAACAGTAACAACAACAATAACATCAATAACAGTAACAGTAACAATAAGAACATAAATAACAACAATAACAACATCAATAACACTAACAGCAAAAACAGTCATGACAACAACAACAACAGTAACAGTAACAATAGTAATTATGACAATAAGAACAGAGACATCAATAAGTACAACAGCAATAACAGTCACAAGAACAGAGACATCCATAACAACCACAGCAAGACCCGTAATAACAACAATAATAACAACAACAGTAACAGTAACAATAAGAACAGAGACATCAATAACATCAACAGGAAAACAGTAAAAATAACAATAACAACAATAACAACATCAATAACAACAACAATAACAACATCAAAACAGTAACAATAAGAACAGAGACGTCAATCACAACCACAGCAAGAACAGTAATGACAACCCCAACAATAACAATGACATCAATAATAGCAACAACAATAACAACATCAACAACAACACTAACAGTAACAATAAGAACAGAGACATCAATAACATCAACAGAAAAACAGTAACAATAACAGTAACAAAATAACAACATCAATAACAACAACAACAACATCAATAACAACAACAATAACATCAATAACAACAACAGTAACAATAACAACAGAGATATCAATCACATCAACAGAAAAACAGTAACAATAACAACAACAACAATAACAACATCAATAACAGTAACAAGAAGAACAGAGACGTCGATCACAAGCACAGCAAGACCAGTATCAACATCAACATCCATAACAGTCACCGTCCCCCCTCCTCCTTCCCTCCCGCCCCCCCCTCAGGCCCCAGGAGGAGGGAGAACGGGGTGGAGGGGGGGGGAGACGCCAGACGGCATTTGATGTTCCTTGGCCTCAGATGCTTAATGAGGTCTCGTTCTCGTCCTCGTTCTCTTTTGTTCTGATTCATGTTCATGGGGGGATGAATAAGGTCTCAGAGGGAGGGAGGGAGGAGGGGGAGTCATCAATTAAACATAACAAGAACGAGCAGGGGAAGGAGGGGGGGCGAGTCCATTAAAAACCAATAAAGAAGAAAAGTAAATGGAAGGAGGGAGGGAGGAGGGAAGGAGGGGGGTCAGAGTCGGGCGGGGAATCTAATACATGCAATGAAAAGCGGGGATGGATAAGGGGAAGGAGGGGTGGAGGGCGAGGGGGCTTCCATCCACCCATCCATCCACCCATCCATCCATCCATCCACCCACCCATCCATCCACCCATCCAACTGTCCATCCACCCATCCATCCATTCACTCATCCATCCATCCATCCATCCACCCATCCACCCATCCATCCATCCATCCATCCATCCACCATCCATCCATCCACCCATCCAACTGTCCATCCATCCACCCATCCATCCATCCACCCATCCAACTGTCCATCCATCCATCCATCCATCCATCCACCCATCCACCCATCCATCCCTCCATCCATCCATCCACCCATCCATCCATCCATCCACCCATCCATCCATCCATCCACCCACCCATCCATCCATCCATCCATCCATCCATCCATCCACCCACCCATCCA